GGGGATTTCCGACGAGGAAAAAAATATCCGAAAAGTGCTCCGAAATAGCCAAAACATGCTCCACAAATGGTCCCCAGACTATTTTTAAACTATTTTTGAATAGGAGGACGGGCCCGACCTAACGCTCGCTCCCCCATCCTCTGGGCGTCGCTGACAGAATCACGACCCTCGTTTCTTTTTTCTCCTTCCCCTACATGTCAACGCCTGGGAAGAGAAGAAGAGCGGACACGAAGCGAAGCAGGGACAGCAGGGTAAGAGGGCACGACGCGAAGGGGGGAGAGGAGCGATCACAGTCGACGGAGCCTGGCACACCGCCCCAGCGCCAGTCTAGTTAAAATCACGACCCTCGTTTCTGCTCTATCCCAGGACCGTCGGCGAACGACCGGCGACGACAGACTGGTCATGGGGATCGAGTCGAGGTCGGAGGTGTGGGTCTGCTGGCGCCTCGGCGTTGTCGTGCTCTATCGTGAGGCGCAGGGCGTTCGAGAACAGCTGCTGCACCTCCTCCTCCGTCGTGCAGGTGATGCTGCCCCTGACCTCCCCAGAGCGCGCGGGGAGGGGACGGAAAGGTCATGGACTAACCCCTGCCCGCTCGAGAAGATGCAGCGCCCCCTCGCTCTGTTCAGGCCTGTAGGACGCGAGGATCAGGAGGCCGGGATGCAGCAGAAGCGCGAAACTTATCCAGCGGGAGCGGCGACAGGGAGGGGCCGCCAGCGGCCAGGGCGCCTGCCCGGTCAAGACGTGAAGGGTCGAGGGATTGAGAGAGACAGAAAAAATAGAGCGCGCGCACGGAGCGTCAGGGGCGGCGCCGGAGGCGCCGCCCAGGGGGGCCCAGCGCGGATCCAAGAGAAGCCGCGCGGAGCGCCAAAAGATTATGGTTCTGCTTTTTTTCCTCCCAAAAGAGAGAGGGAGAGAGAGAGAGAGGGAAAGAGAGAGAGAGAGAGAGATCATCGAAAAAACATGGCTCTCGCTTCAGCCGTCCTGAAATGTATGATACGGCATTCCCAATTGCACAACACTTGCACGGATGGAGGGCGGACATCTTCCAAAACGGATTTAGCGGTGGACGCTTTTTTGAACTGTGTGATCCGCTGAATGGCAGGTTCACGGGGCGTTCGTCTATCCAGGGCGGCGCTCTTTTGCAATGCTAATGGGGACTTGTACGGACGAGTGAGGAGGGGCCTTCGAACGGGAGGGTATGTTGCAGCATCCTCCATGCATATGGTGCTTCCTCTGGCCCTCTTCCATCTTTTTGCGCTGCGCCGGCTTCGATCAAGGATCGCCGCGTCTGATCCTCTTCCATCTCCTCATCATCCGCTTCCTCTGGTCCATGGAGAAGGCCGCATCGTGTAGTGGACGCGCGACCAGCGGCAGGTGAGGCGGGACGCGCGTCGACTTTCGGGGAGACGAAGCGGCAAGGACAGGGAGGGAGAATGGGGCACAGCGGGGAAATGATCGTGGCCCCACGAAAGTCAAGCAGCCTCCGAACGCCAGTGAGACCTGGGGACGGCGAGGAGGGGAGGAAGCTTATGAGGCTTCTTGGTAGGAGGAAGGGGAGGAAGAGGAGGAGGAGGAGGAGGAGGAGGAGGAGGAGGAGGAGGAGGAGGAGATGGTTCTCCCCAGTTGCGGACGGTGCGCACAAGCCGTGCGCCCCGCGCGGCGCACCTCTCGCGCGGATCCTGCCGCGCGGGAAGCTGAGCCTCTGAGGCTCCCGTGGCGGTCGGTGTGCGCCTCTGCCTTCTCGCACGCTTCTCGGCCCCACCCCTCAGGCATAGTGACCTCTCGCACGCTTCTCGGCCCCACCCCCCACGAGGCATAGGGGGGCAGGCGCAGAAGCGGGGAGGGAACAGGAGGGTGAGCCGGACGAGGGAGCATGGGACGGCAGGGGCGGGTCGGAGCGCGGAGGAGGAGAATGAGGAGGAGGATGATACAAGTGAGCAGGAGGAGGAGGACGAGGAGGAGGAGGACGAGGAGGAGGAGGACGAGAAGGAGGAGGAGGAGAAGGAGGAGGAGGAGGAACAGAGGAGGAGGAGAAGGAGGAGGAGGGTAAGGAGCACCAGGAAACGGATGAACGATCAAGCAGGGTAGAGCACCATGCGGAAAATGATGTTGAGGACGAGCAGGACGAAATGGACGGCCAAGAGAAGGATGATGTCACGGATGTGAAGGTTTACGACAAGGAGAGCAGGTACCCTGACAAGGAGGATGAGGACGATGAGGGCACAGAAGGCAAAGACGGAAACGTTGCCGGCGACGATGGCTGTGATCCTGACCATGGCCGCGATGCTGACGATGCGGGGAGGGGGGGAAGAGGAGGAGGAGGGAGAGGAGGAGGAGGAGGAGAGGAGGAGGAGGAGGAGGAGGAGGAGAGGAGGAGAGGAGGAGGAGGAGGAGGAGGAGGAGGAGGAGGAGGAGGAGGAGGAGGAGGAGGGAGGAGGAGGAGGAGGAGGAGGAGGAGGAGGAGGAGGAGGAGGAGGAGAGGAGGAGGGGAGGAGGAGGAGGAGGAGGAGGAGGAGGAGGAGAGGGGAGGAGGAGGAGGAGGAGGAGGAGGAGGAGGAGGAGAGGAGGAGGAGGAGGAGGAGGAGGAGGGAGGAGGAGGAGGAGGAGAGGAGAGGGAGGAGGAGGAGGAGGGAGGAGGAGGAGGAGAGGAGGAGGAAGGAGGAGGAGGAGGAGGAGAGGAGGAGGAGAGAGGAGGAGGAGGAGGAGGAGGAGGAGGAGGAGGAGGAGGGGGAGGAGGAGGAGGAGGAGGAGGAGGAGGAGGAGGAGGAGGAGGAGGAGGATGAGGAGAGGAGGAGGAGGAGGAGGAGGAGGAGGAGGAGGAGGGAGGGAGGGAGGGAGGGAGGGAGGAGGCGGCCAGGTCCAGGCAGCCGCCGCAGCACAGGAGGTCGTCCATGTCCCCGGTGCGGCACTTGCGGGTCTCGAACAGCAGCTGGACCTCGCCGCGCCGGCCGCGCACTCTTTCTGTCCCGTGCGCGGCCCCGCCGATCCCCCTATGGAGGAGGGAGGGGGAAGAGGCGCACCGCCAAGAGGAGGAGGAGGAGGAAGAGGAGGAGGAAGAGGAGGAGGAAGAGGAGGAGGAGGAGGAGGAGGACGAGGAGGAGGAGGAGGAGGAGGAGGATCTCGTACTTTGGCCAGGGTGACTTTCTCGATCGCGGTGCGCTTCCGCTCTACCGCGGATTCAGGAAGCCGCTGTGGGGCCCCGGGGACGTCAGACTTGAATGGCCCACGATCCCGGTGAGGAGCTCCTGGCGAGCTTTATTTTGGCAGGTCTGTCATTCACGTTTGAACCATGCAGCGGTGTTATATCTCGTACAGCGCTGCGACGTGATGTGCCTTGTCTGGCGGTTCGATTTCTCCCTAAAAAATTGTCGTCGCCACGCCATCACCGCAATCATGTCCGCAATCGGGCCTCGCTTCATGAACGCCCGTTGACGGTCGGCTGACGAAAGCGTGCACTTCTTGCGTCCGCACTGCGACCAGTAAGGACGAGGGAGGGAAGCAGAAGGAGGAACCAGCAACAACACCAAGAGACTGACCTTCACGATGACGACGACCACGACGACGATGACGACAACGACGACGACGACCACGACGACAACGAGCTCCGCGACGACGACGCTGACGCCGACGCCGACGCAGACGACGACGGCGCCGACGCCATCTTGGTCGTCGTCGATTGCGTGGACAATGTCGTCGTCATGGGTGCCGTCCTCGTCGTCGTCGTCGTCGTCGAGTCGTTGTATCGTCGTCGTCGTCAGTGTCATCGTCGTCGGTGTTACCGTCGTTGATGTCATCATCGTCGTCGTCGTCGCGGTCGTCGTGGTTGTCGTTGCTGTCGTCGTCGTCGTTGTCGTCGTAGTCGTTTTCGTCGTCGTCATCGTCGTCATCGTCGTCGACGTCGTCGTCGTCGCTGTGGTCGTCGTCGTCGTCGTGGTCGTTGTCACCGGCGTCGTCGTCGTCGTTGTCGTCGAGTCGTTGTATCGTCGTCGTCGTCGTCAGTGTCATCGTCGTCGGTGTTATCGTCGTTGGTGTCATCGTCGTCGTCGTCGTCGCGGTTGTCGTCGTTGTCGTTGCTGTCGTCGTCGTTGTCGTCGTAGTCGTTTTCGTCGTCGTCATCGTCGTCGACGTCGTCGTCGTCGCTGTCGTCGTCGTCGTCGCTGCTGGCGTCGTCGTCGTCGTTGTTTCGGTGGACGGGTCCAAAAATATGTATGCCTAGACGCTTCTCTTTGGGGGGAGTCCTATATCGAAACGTCAAACAATTCAAACAATGCCTCGGGGGGGGGGGGAACAATGTCCCCGTCCCCGCCACGTCGCCCTCGGGCTCCAGGGCGTCCGTCCCCGTGTGGGGGGCATAGGCTGGCGGCGCGGACGCGCCGCGGCCCAGGGGGGACGGGGACGGCAAGGCAGCGAGGCTGCGGGCGGGGTGAGCTGAAAGCCGCCGACCCGTGCTGCGAACCGGGGGGAGGAGGAGCCAGCAACAGCGAGGCGGACACGCGGCGCGGCTGCCTTTGCGCCCCCTGCGGGCTGCGGCGGGCTGGGGAAGCGAGACGACGCCGACTCGTGCTGCGAGCAGGACGGAGATCGGGTCGGGCGAAAGGGGGGGGGATAGCAAAGGGGGGGGTCGAGAATCGGCTCGCGTGGCTGATTTTCCCGGCGCCTCCCGGCGCCAGGAGGCGCCCACGCATCGAGGAAGGGGCCCCTCGGTGGGGCCGAAACCAGCTGCATATGCAGCACATTTTCGTACCCCCCCCCCCTTTCCCGATCCCCCCCCTGTCGTCCGGCCCGAGAGGACGCGGGGGGAGGCGCGGGACGGAGGCGGTGCCTTCCTGGGGTCCAGCTGCGGCCGGGGCAGCACGCGCAGGCCGCGCTTCTCCTGCGCCTCCCTGGCGGCCGCGGGCGGGCCGCAAGGCCAGGGAAAAACCGAGTGGCGGCCGCCGCGTGGGGCGCTCCTCCTCCTCCTTCGCCGCCTGCCCCTCTCCGCCTGGTGCTTCCCGCCCGGCCGAGGCCCAACGAAGGAAACAGCATGACAGGGCAGTTTTTAAACATAGGATTTTTTTAAAGAGATATCGGATGTTTAATACATGCCTAATTGACGCATCAATTTACGCATGAACTCATCGTTGTTGTTGGTACAACATCCCCGCGTTTTTAATACATGCTCCGCACGCGGAGCATGTATTAAAAACGGCACTGTACAGTGGTCAGCGTCCTCTTCTGGTGTCCGGCGCGCCCCGCGGTAGAAAAACCAGCGTGCGCCTTGTCGTGCGATGACCTCTCACGCAACGTACCAAACGTAGCGGCACGGTTCGGCTATTGTGGGGCTCAAAGACATCCTGAAACGTTCCCCTTCCGCTTCCGTTCTGGCGTCCTGCGACTGTCAGGTAATGTTTGCGTGGGGACAACAATACAGCGATATATGTACAGAGAGAGAGGGACAGAGACAGAGACAGAGACAGAGACAGAGACAGCGAGTGGTATACCCACAAAGATATATGTATATAAACAAATGGGTCAGGATTCCGTGCAGTGACGAAGCCGATCCATAAGGGCTACATATATATATGTATATACATATACCTGTGCATATATGTATACATGGAGATCTCTCTATATCTCTCCCCCTGTATATCGATGTATGCGCTTATAGGCGTGTGTGATACTTGGGCGAACACCTCTACGCATACGCACCCGTGCAGAAGCTGTGAGTCGACGACTCCCGCGCTTAGGATCTAACCAGACATCGGAACAACACTCGTGGTGCCATTTTGAACGTGGGGCAGAGTTCGAAGACAGAACATGAAGAGGAGCGAGGACACACGGAGCAAAAAGAAAGGGGAGAACGGCGGGAAACAGCGAGAACCACGATAAGGAGGGAGATGGGAAACGGACGGAGGCAGGACGACTGGTGGCAGGAAGGACCAGGGGGAGGGAGCAACCATGATGAAAACGTGGCAACGGAGCGTACACATATAAGAATGCATTCTTGCAAAGCGTCGATGAATAGAAGAGGCCATCCCTACACCTCGTGTCCTCTTCTTCCTCCTACCCTTCTTCTCTCCCTCATTTGCCTCCTCCTCCTCCTCCTCCTCCTCGTCCTCCCGCCTCGTCACTTATGCCGAGACACGGTCGCCCAGAGCGGTGCGTCCTTCGGCCCCGGCGACAGACGCGAAGCACACACGCAGTGCGGAACGGAAACAGGGAGGCGATCACGCAAGATCGTCGGTCCAGGGTTCAGCAGTGGGGGGACGAGGAGAGGATGACATCATAACCATGATGACAGGAACGCACATCACTTCATTACTCTTGACAGGCCAGGGGGGTTCAACCCAGCCTGTACACGAGATCCAGCTTGTCTCGAGCCTCGTTGGGGGTGATGGTGCTGCCCTGGCGGAGAGAGGGGGTCTAGCGCGATGGCAGAGGCTCCAGCCTACTGTGACACGCAGGGATACGGGAACAGTGGGGCAGGAGAGTGCTGCTTTCGATAGGCGGGGAGGAGGAGGACACGGACGGACGGGGACACGAGGGGAGCCGAGGGAAGAGCGAGGGAAGAGCGAGGGGGGGACGGGGGGAGAGAGGAGGTGGCGGGGAAGAGAATCGGGGGTGGGGAAGGGGAGGAGGAGGAGGAGGAGGAGGAGGAGGAGGAGGAGGAGGAGGAGGAGGAGGAGGAGGAGGAGGAGGAGGAGGAGGAGGAGGAGAGGCAGCGGGGAAGAGAAATCGGGGGTGGGGAGGCGGGGGGGGGACGGACGCGGGAGCGGGGCCGACGCAGGGCGGACCCTGGACGGAAGGAGCAGGGGGAGAGAACCTTGGCCAGACTGAAATATCACTCTGTTTCCACGACGGCCGGCTCGGCGCAGCTTCAGAGCGACGACTTGCGGGCGCCCAGTGTACGAGGCCCCCGGGGGCGAGATGCTCCCCGAGCTGGAACCTTGCCCCATTCCTCCCCCCCCTCCGTCTCTTCCCGCTCTCGGGGAGCTGTGGGAGCTTCGCTGAGACAGCAAGCAGGTGGGAGAAGCGAGGGGCTGGATGGCTGCGCAGGGCACGAAGGGGGTGTGGACTGTGGTGGTGAGGGGGAGGCGGTGCAAAAACAGGACAGCCTGCGCACCCTGAGTAGTAGTCCAGAGTCGGATGACGATGGTGATGATGATTCTGATGATGATGACGATGATGACGATGCTGATGACGATGATGAGTATGATAATTGTTGGTGATGATGATGATGCTGATGATGATGATGATGGTGGTGATGATGATGGTGATGATAATGCTGTTGGTGCTGATGACGACGATGATGATGACGACGATGATGATTAGGATGCAGATGATAATGATGATGACGATAACGATGATCATGATGCTGATGCTGACGATGATGATGATGATGCTGAACATGATAATGACGATGATTTCGATTCTGATTACTGTTCGGGTGATGATGGTGGGAAGAGGGATGAAGAGGAACGAACGAACGTCAGCGGCGCGAGTCCGCTTCTGTTTAAGACCGCCGCGGCGGGTCCCACAGGGCTAAGGGGAGGTTGACGTCGCGGTCGCCGATGGCGCTGGCACCATTAAAAATACCATTGGTGTCGTTGTACGGGGTGACGTCGGGAAACTGAGCAGCGTCACTGACAAGCAAAAGAACGTAGGGTCTGCCGTCCGCAATGCCCAGACTATCGTCCCTCTGGACGGTGGCCTCGATCTGCGGGAAACGGAGGGCCATGCAAACGTCGGGGACCGCGTGCTCCATGTGGTCGACCAGCTCATGTACCGAAGTCGGCGGATGAGTAGGCTCAACAGGAAGAGCGGGAGCACCATCGGTGACACCTGCATTAAGAACGTCACCAGCAACGTCAACAGCCATGAGCACGTCCTTAGAGGCTAACAGCTCCAGGTCGTTGTTCAGCATGGCCCCCTCGTGGAGTGTGAGGTCGCTCTCGTGGTCGACAAGGCCTCCGTCGTGAGCGACACCAAGCCGGTCGTAGTCAGGAAACACCGTGTCACCGCCATGCCGATCCATCTCAATCATTGTATCGTGTACGTAGCACCCCGCAATTGCGGATAAGAGTGAGGGGGCGGGCGCGAGCGACGCGGGCGTCGTCGAGCCGGCGGACCTCGTGGCCCCCACCTTCCTTGTCGATGGCGCTCTCCTCCTCCTCCTCCTCCTCCTCTTCCTCGTCCTCGTCCTCGTCCTCATCTTCATCGTCATCCTCCTCCTCCATCTTGTCCTCCTCCTCTTCTTCCTCGTCCTCCCTCTCCCCCCCTCGTCATTTCATCATCGTCCTCCCATTGTCGACCTCCCCCCCATCGGCCTCCATTATCGTCCTCCCATTGTCGTCCATCATCATCATCATCCCCCTCCTCCCCCTCCTCGTCCTCCTCCCCCTCCTCCCCCTCCTCCCCTCCTCGTCCTCCTGTTCCTCCTCCTTTTCTTTCTCCACATTCTCCTTACATCCTCTCTTCTTCCGCGTTTTCCTCGTCCCCTGTTTACTCCTCCTGCCTCCCCCTCCTTTCCCAAGATAACTGCAACGCAATCCTTCTTTCCACTTTACGCTCCCCGCCTTCTCTGATCAAGGCAACTCGCCAGGGCAAAGTGCTGGACGGGCTGGTGTGGATGCGCGGGGCTTGAAGAGGTCCTTGCGGGCTCAGGCGGCATGCAAACATGCGCCGCCGCGCTTGTGCGGCATTGGTTTGTTCAGTGAACGTGTTTTAGGTCGCGGGCGGGTCGCGGGCTCTCCACCTCCACATGAAAGGAATGCAAAAGCAGCCCGCCGCAGGCGCCAAAAAAATTGGCTTGTACACTGAACGTGGTTTGGGTCGCGGGTGGGCCGCGGGTTCTCCATCGGGAACGAATGCAAAAGATGCCCGCCGCAGGCGCCGAAAAATGTGGTTTGTACCCTGAACGTGGTCGCGGGTGGGCCGCGGGCTATCCACCTGAAACGAATGCAAAAGATGCCCGCCGCAGTTGCCAAAAAATGTGGTACCCTGAACGTGGTTTGGGTCGCAGTTAGTCGCGAGTTGGTCACGGGGTGGGTCGCGGGCTCTCCACCTGGAAGGAATGCACAAGAAGCCCGCCGCAGGCGCCGAAAATGGTGGTTTGTACCTTGAACGTGGTTTGGGTCGAAGGTGGGTCGCGGGTGGGTCGCGGGGTGGGTCGCGGGTGGGTCGCGGGTGGGTCGCGGGTGGGTCGCGGGTGGGTCGCGGGTGGGTCGCGGGGTGGGCCGCGGGCGGGTCGCGGGGTGGGTCGCGGGGTGGGTCGCGGGGTGGGTCGCGGGGTGGGTCGCGGGGTGGGTCGCGGGGTGGGTCGCGGGTGTGTCGCGGGGTGGGTCGCGGGTGGGTCGCGGGGTGGGTCGCTGGGTGGGTCGCGGGTGGGTCGCGGGGCGGGTTGCGGGTGAGACGACGACAACAAACAACAACAACACAACAACAACAACAACAACAACAACAACAACAACAAAAACAACAACACCAACACCAACACCAACACCAACACCAACAACAACAACAACAACGACAACAACAACAACAACACCAACAACAACAACAACAACAACAACCACAACAACAACAACAAACAACAACAACGAGAATCCGCACCGCGGAATTCCACTTCAGCCACGCACCCAGGGACAGTGAATGACAGTTCGGCCCCCTCACTCTGATCACCTCAGCGCCGCCGTCGTAGCACCTCAGTTAGCCGCCCCTTCCCTAGTTCCCTAGGGGGCGAAAACTTGGGAACACCGATGGGTGTCACCGCACCGTAGCCGTCGTAGTGGACTGGTTGGTGCTCGTACCCGACTGTGTTCAATCAATAACCACGCGGATCAGTGTGGTCATGCAGGCCAGCGAATCTCCCACCACCACCATCAGGCGCATGAACTACGGGAGGTGGGTGAACAACACCCGGGTGGTCACCCACGCCACGATGAGGAACGGCGGGGACATGCGCAGAGCCATTGCCATTGCGGTAGACCTTGGTGCGATGGGCGAACTTGTCTCGGCCGTTGGCGCGCTCAGAATCTCTCCCATCTTCGAAGACGGCCTCAAGCCCGACTCAGGGTACAGCAACCCTTTCGACGGGCAGCCCCTTCCCTGGCGTGTCGGTCGTTCTACGGGTCGCAGTTCAGTCAGCGCGTCACGCGTGGTCCGTCGCCCTCGTGACAGGCAGCCAGCTCATCGAGTCCACCTCCGCCTGGCGATGACAGAGATGGTGCGCAGTGGATTGGCGGGGCAGCCTCCTCTGGCTCGGGCGCTGCGGGCGGCTGGCGTGGCACAGGCAGCTGCTGCACACAAATGGTCTCGAGGGAGTCCAGACTGGATCTGCTCACCCTCTTTCTGCTGGGCGAAGGGTGCTCAGGCCCTTCACCACCTGCAGCGGTGAGGCGTCCGCGCGACCACCTTGGGGCGTTCGGGCTGCTCTGCGTGCCCTTGGCGGGGGGGGCCGGCGGCGAGCGGCAGGAGAAGGCTCGAGGGGAGCAGGGTGAAGCTCCTCGGGGCTGGGCCTGCCGAGCCAGAGCGGGTGGAGGCCTGGAATGGACATGCACGGGCGATGGCTGACTTGGCGGAGACAGCGGACTCGCAGCGGACGGCGAACCCTGGATGAGAGTCGGGGCGCCAATCCAAGCGCCCTGAGTGACGCATGGCCTTTGCAGACGTGAGCCGTGCAATCTCAGGGTCATCATCAGCATGCTCCCGAAGGTGCCGTCGGAGTGCTTCCCTGAAGCTGCCGATGCGCAGTTCAATCTAGCTGTCCAACCACGGCTGGACGTCCCTCGTGGTGGCCGAGGTGCAGGAGACAATGTCGGAAGCCCACGTGGCTTCTCTGTGCGTGCCGGTGCGACGTGCTCCCTCGGCTGGTTGCGGGGGAACTGCTGGGTCGAGATCGCTTTCGGCGTGCCCGTGGGCGCGAGGTCGTGCGAGGAGGCGGGCCGCGGAACAAGGCTGAGCGGATGCCACCAACGCACGCGCTCATATCCAGCACTCCGTCGGACCAGTTCCTCTTAATGGCGATCGTGGGGTATGCCATCGACGGAGGAGATGAGCTCAGCCCGCCGCAACACGGCAAGGCGCCAGGCCTCCTCGCATACATCCTCTGCCAATGCGTCGGGAAGCGCTGGGTCCTCGTCGGCGGCATCGCGCGGGAAGATATTGTCGTGCCCCGTGAACTGCGGCGGCCCCTTGGCGAACGAGATGCACCGCGATAGCCAATGCTGGTGCGAGACGATGTGCTCGTCCTTGTAGGGGTCGTGCGGTACCCACTGCTCCGAAAGGCGCAGAATAATCCCTTTGAGTTGGGCGCAATCGTCACACGCGAACCCGTGAGCGGAGCTGGTTGCATCCGCCACCAGCCCAGGGACCGCAGACGCGAGAGCCGCGAGGTGGTTATTTACAAGACGGTGGAACACATCTGCTTGGGAAACTTGTCGAACAAGAAGATCAACCCGACGAGCCGAGGCAACATGTGGTGGGGTGCACGATTCCATCGCGCCCGTACTGTGAACATGGGGCAGCAGATCACCATGACACAGCCTAACACTCACTATGCCCAGAATAAGAAGGCTGTTGTAATCAGAGTTGCTGCCGTCATGATCAGCAGGACGCTCGGCGGCATTCTGACCGTTTCGTGAGGAACCCTTTCCGCAGTGAGAAGCTGATGCGCAGCCCCTGATGTTGGCAACTGGTAGCGCGTCGGGTTGGGGAGACTCCTCATCTGCATGTGTTGCCGTGCAGACCTCCCATGCTCAATCTGATGATGCTGCTGATGCTGATGATGGTGATGCTGTTGATGATGGGGGTGATGCTGCTGCTGATGATGGCGATGCTGTTGATGGCCGTGATGCGGATGATGCTGATGATGGAGATGATGGCGATGCGGCTGCTGCTTATGATGGTGATGTTGCTGGTGCTGCTGATGATGCTGGTGATGATGCTGATGATGATGATGCTGCTGTCGCGGATGCTGTCGCTGATGCGGTTGTTGATGATGCCTGTGGTAAGGCTGATACTGATGATTGATGGTGATGGTGCTGAGGATGATCATGATCATGATAATGCTGATGATGATGAGGATGCTGATAATGATGATGATGCTGATGATGATGATAGTGATGATGGTGATGCTGATGGTGATGATGAGTCATATGGTAATACTGATGGTGCTCATGCTGGAACTGATGGCGATGACGGCGATGATGCTGGCGATGATGATGATGAGGAGGAGGAGGAGGAGGAGAAGGATGAAGATGATGCTGACGATGATGTTGAGGCTGGTGATGATGAGGATGATGCTGCTGATGATGAAGATGCTCTTGATGATGATGCTGATGATGATGAGGGTGATGATGGTGATGCTGATGCTGCTGCTGCTCAGGAGGAGGAGAAGGAGCAAGCGTCCCTGGAGAGGAGGAGGAGGAGGAGGACGAGGAGGAGGAGGAGGAGAAGGAGGAGGAGGAGCGGGCGGAGAAGGAGACGGAGGATGAGGACGGAGGGAACCAGGCGGGTCAGGATCTAAAGGGGCGAAGGCGGGAGAGGAGCAGGAGGGAGAGGATCAGGAGGGAGAGGAGGGCCATGGGGGGGAAGAGGCGCAGGGCGACGGACGACGACCTTGGCGGGAGCCGAGCCAGCCAGGCGTCAGAAGCAAGGACCGTCGCGAAGAGCAGCGCTCGGCTCACTCCTGATCCTCCGCATCCTGCTCCGCACCCTCGCAAGGCCCCCCTCGGGCCATCATGACGCATTGCACCCGTGCCCATCTACCTCCTACTGCCCTTTCCCTCTCGTTCTCCTCGTCCTCCTCGTCCTCCTCGTTCCTCTTGTCCTCCTCGTCCTTCTCCTCCTCCTCCTCCTCCTCCTTCTCACCATCACCACCACCATCCTCCTCCTCCTCATCATCATCACCACCATCACCACCAGTCATCATCATCATCATCATCATCATCATCATCATCATCATCATCATCATCATCATCATCATCATCAGCATCAGCATCATCATCATCATCATCAGCATCAGCATCAGCATCATCAGCATCATCATCGTCACCACCAGCATCATTCCAATCATCATCAACATCATCAACATCACCAACATCATCGACATCAGCATCACCAGCATCGACATCGACATCGACATCGGCATCATCAACATCAACATCATCATCAGCATCATCATCAGCATCAGCATCACCATCATCACCATCATCACCAATCATCATCATCATCATCATAACCATCATCACCATCATCATCATCAGCATCAGCATCAGCATCAGCATCATCATCAGCATCATCATCACCATCACCATCACCATCACCATCACCATCACCATCACCATCACCATCATCATCATCATCATCATCATCATCATCATCATCATCATCATCATCATCATCATCATCATCGTGAGCATCACCATCATCATCAGCATCGTCGGCATCATCATCATCATGAGCCTGGGAGGTCTGTGTGAGGGTGTGGTCCCGCACGAATGTCTGCCTCGTCCTTCTCCTCCTCCTGTCCATTGCCTCTTCCTCATCCGCATCCTCCACACGCGACAGCGGCAGACACGACCTCCTCACCCTCGCATGGCCCGCCGCAAAGTCATGGCGCACAACTCCCCTGCCCCTCACATCGGCAGCTGACCCCACCTGAGCGCAGACAGCAGCGAGAGCACGAGCAACCACGGGCCAGCACCGGCGGCAGCGGCACATGATCAGACAGCGCGGCAAGGTGGCAGGCGTTGGCATCAGGTCGGGCACGTCCCCCTTCAGGCGGATATTGGACGACAAAAAACAAACACTCAAAAACATATTCCAAACATATTCACAAATACTGAAAACCAATTATCCCCGGACTATTTTTGACCAGTTTTCTCCTGTAGAGGGACATGCCCGGCTTAACGTTGGCAGGGGAAGAATGTCCCTGTGGACCACGACGGCGTCGACGCCGTTCGCCCGCAACGTTTGCTCCGCCTCCTGGCGAGAGACGGGCGAGGGACAAAGGCAACGATGCGGTCACATAATACGACCGCCGCGCACGGTGCACGCGCGCTGCGGCGAGCCAGGAAGCGGGCAATACACTCTCGCGTCCCCGAGAGAGAGAGAGAGAGAGAGAAAGAGAAAGGAAGAGAGAGAGAGAGAGAGAAACAAAAATAAAGCCCCCAAAAAAGAAAAAGAGAGAGAGGGAATGATAGGAGGACGAGGAGGGAGGGAGAGGAGGTGAGGAGCGCAGGAGGGGGTGGGGCGGAGGAAGGATAAGCAGGAGGAGGGGAAGAACCGTCGCATCTTCCCGATCCTCCCCGTCGCCGAGGGGCGCAGGCGGCCCAACACAAAACCCGTGAGGCACCACGGCGGCCCCAAGAGGGCCCCATCAGGAGCCCAAGACCGCCCCGTGATGGCCCAGAACACTTCCCGTGAGAGCCCTCCGAGGAACAGGAGTGCTCCTCCTCCTCCTCCTCCTCCTCTTCCTCCGCTTCCTCCGCCCACTCCTAGCCCTTTCGATCAGGGTCGGCGGCACCGGCCCCCAGGCCTCTCCGATAGGAGGGCGAGAAGTGCCACGTGGCACGGCCTTCGGTGCCCGACGCGCCGCCACGCCGCGTGCGGGGGGCAACCGATCGTGGCCAACTCCCTGACGGAGCTCCCAGCCTTGAGGAGGAGGAGCCACTTGCACCCGATGACCATCGAGAAGAGTATCCTGCCACGTGTCTGCAACGAACACACTAGGCTCGGCAAGCCAGTTCGAGGACGTGCCCATAACGTATCGGCATAGCATGGCTGAGAAGCGTGGCTGCTCTTGATATCGCGACAGGCTGACGAAGCCCCCTCGCTTCGGGCCAAGACCATGCGATGGAGCCACAGGCGCGTCACAAGCATGGGGTGGACAGGCTTGGTTGCTGTTGCCACGGAGCGTGCCTCACCGCTCCCCGCGTCCACGATCGCCAGCAACGCCCTCTTGCTGCCTCGCAGGGGGTAGAGCTGGTTGTCGTTGTTGACGGCCTCGAGGGAGAACCTCGGCGACCGTTTTTAGGGAGCGGTCCCTCCTGGCAGAATAGTAGCACTGCACCGCAACACATGCAATTCCAAAGTCACGTCAAGAATGTGTGTCCCCTGGCAGGCCCGTATGCCCTGGCACTCACACGGCAAGAACTCTGTGCTCCGAAGGCGCTCCGCCGCCCGCGCCGTCCTCGCCCGCCCTCGCGCTCCTCCCGCTCCTGCCAGTGCCCAGATTCGGCCCCGCAGTGCCCCGCGGCATTGCCTCGACCGCGGACTGCTGCCAAGCCGCTGCGACAAAGCAATGCCTTGCCGTTCGTCGGTGCCTTCTCGTGCCGTGGCCTGGGCACCTGGCTGTGCTCGGAGTGGCTGCGCATGGCGCAGGTGGCGATCGTTCCCAGTAGTGCGGTCGCGCCGCCTGGCGCGCACCCCCCCAATGCCTCAGCTGCGTTGGCAACGGCGCAGCGGCGACAACTGGGAAGGTGCGCTTGCTGCAGACGAGTTGGTGCAGCCAACGGCCAGAGCATGATGGGGCAACGGCACACGCGACCATGGCCCGGGGCGGGCAAACCAGCTACAATAGCTCGCCAACAGCTGGCAGCAGATCCCCAGCCAAACTTGAACACACATCTCAGACATGCTCGACCTGCCTCCCGGCAAACGTCCGCTCAAGATCTGCCGCTGGGTCTCTCAAGGGCACCATCCACTCCATTTCTCCAAGCCGTGTCCAGACGTGGGCGACAAGTACGAGTGAGCGAGGAGGACTAATGTGGCCGTCGTGAAAAATGCCAGGTCTCTTGGAAAGAACACGGCGAATATACAAGTAGTAGCCACGTTGACAGAGCTATGAGCTCAGTGAGAGGGGCATGGGCGAGTGAGCGAGCGATGAGGGCGGCGAAGGGATGAGCAGAAGGAGGGAGGAGAGGGATGCACCGTCCTCGAGGAGGAGGAGGGGCGGGTGATGAGCAAGGAGAAGGATGAGGGGAGAGACGAAGGACCGCCGCCAAACGGTCACAAACTCCCCCGCGGGGGACGCCCGTGGGGCCGCCGAGGACTTGCGTGCCGGAGTGCGGCCGAGGTTCGGCAGCCGAGTGTAACCAAATATAACAACCAGTAACGATCAATAGTAGATCTGGCTGCCGAGGGCGCAACATGTGGCGCAGCCCATTGTGAGCCGCTTTATTTCCAAGTGCCGAGGCTGCAATCTATGGCGCGGCCAATCGTGGACAGTTTCATGTTCGGCAGCCCACTGCACATTCTATGGCGAAGCCAGTCGCAGGCAAGTTGCACGACCAGCAGCTGGAGGAAACACACATGGCGAAGCCAATGAAGAATGTCAGAGTGAGAGGGCCGAGCGGGCTTGCACTGTCCCCGTGCGTGTGGCTGAAATTGCACTCCGCGATGCCAGTGATGGTCGTGTTGTGTTGTGCTGTTTGTCGCCGTCAAGCCCGCGACCCGCCCTGCGACCACCCTGCGACCCACCCCTCGGCCCACCCGCGACCCACTCGCGACCCACCCAAAACCCACCCGAGACCCACCTGCTAGCCATCCGCGACATGCTCGCGACCCACGCCCGCCAGCCACCCGCGACACGACCACCGCGAATTTTTGAAATCGCCGCATGCGGCGGGCTGGCTGCGCTGAAGACAGCAGGTCGGCGCCTGCGGCAGGCTTCTTTCCGTTTGCTTTCGAGCGTCGCGGCCCGCCGACGCTTCCCCCCGCGACCGCACACAAAAAACAACACAAAAAACGACGCCTGCGGTGGGCTTCCTTACATTGGCAGCCGAGCCCCCCCGCGGCCCCGGCAAAGCAGCCCAAACATCCCCTCACTCTGGAGGCAAAAAGCCTAACCGCAACCAATAGCAAGCTGTTCCGCTAGTAGATTGGTCCGATTGCATGCCGATGAGGTTTCGCCAGCCGAAGGCGCAACCACTGTGGCAACCAATCGCAGGCCTTCATTTTTAGGCGGCCGAGGGCGAAACCTATGGCGGCATCAACAGAAGGCGGCTTTCTGTTCGGGAGCCCAGGCCGCAAACCTTGGCGCAACCAACAGCAAGCGATTCAAAATTCGACAGCCGAGGCACAAGCGATGCCGCAACCATATCAGCGTACCTTCGGCAACCGAACGTACAACCGCTAGAAAGCCATTTGTTATGTTTGGCAGCCGACGGCGGAACCTAGGACGCCGCACGCAGAATCTGGTTTCCGTTGCGGCGTCCGAGGGCGCAGCCCTTGGGGCGACACGTGGCCGGAGGCGTGCAGCCGAAGCTGCGCGACACTGAGGAAGGACGAAGCACGGGGAGGACGGGGAGAAGAAAGATAGTGAGGGCGACAGACAAACTACACAGGACGTCAGTGCTGGTGGTGTGTGGCTGTGCGCGCTTTTCCTTCGGAGGATCGCCAGTGACTCAAGAGACCCGGCTGTCGAGGCGTGGGTCATCGCATGCCAGCTGCCCCAATGCAGCAGCCCAAGCATGACGAGACAAAAAGAAAGACGGTCTGAGGTGTTCGCGACCCATCTAGCCAAGCAAGGGCGCTTGAGGCCGTGTGCACCAGTTCGGAACGCTACAAAAAGGTGGTAACAGGTAGCAATGGTGACCAAACGTCCAGCCATGCCCACTAACGCGGTTGTGCAAGCCATGCCCAGAGTTATGCTGCTCCCATCGTACTTACAGATTACGTCCCAGAAATAATTTCGAGCACCTGGAAAAGCGTCGAAACAGTGTCGAGACAGTGTCGGACGAGTGTCTCCCAGGGCCCGACACGTGGAACCCCTGGAGCTTCGGTACTTTTCTGGTGCTCGACACTCTCTTCTGGTGATCTAGGCTGAAGTACGTTGAAACATCGTAAGCCCAGAGCAGACGACCCCCCCCCGGAAGCTCCGGCGCCCCAACGCTCAGACCCTCGCGAGGGGGTCCCCATGGACGCCCTGGCTTGCAACGCCGATCCGAAGGGCAGGGCCTGCCTGAACAGCACGGCCAGCCCCTCTCTGGGACGACGCCTGGTGCTGCACCGAGTGGGCCCCCCGCCCTTGTCTCGCCCTCCTCGTGCTCGTCAGTCCGCGGCGTCCCGAGAGGGGTGCTCCTCGCACTTGTCGATCGCGAGCAGGCCGAGGATCACGAGCCCAGCGTCGCTGCCCGGGAACGCGGTGACCTCGTGGCTGCCCTCGCCGCCCTGCTCGGTCTGGGCCATCAGCCACCCCTGGCTGCTGAACACCCTCGTCTGGTGGGCCGCGAGGTCCCGCGAGAACGTCGCCAGCACGCCCAGCTTGCACAGGATGGCGTAGTCGCCCCCTGGCCTTGATGGGGCACCGATCGGGGGGGGACTGGCATACGGGGGGGGGCACATCGACCTGGGATCGGCGACACATCGCCGGTAGATCGGCGACAGAGCCCCGATCATGAATCCGCACGTCCCTGGGCAGGTTGGGGCTATCGGACTCCTATCGGCGATCAGTGGGCGACTGGGGGGCGATGCATCCCCCCCTATGCCTGTCCCTCCCTGTCGTTGCCCCCGACGGCCTCTTCTCCACGGTCGCGAACTGGCGCCCGTCGGGCCTCAGGATGAAGAGCTTCGGCGGCGTGGCCCCCGCGGGCTCCGCCCACAGGTCCCCGGTCGCCAGGAAGGCGTGCCACCTTGATTACTCCAGATTTCGTAATAAAGGGAGGGGGGTCTCATTTCGGGGGGGGTCTCTTCCAGGCTATCTTGGAGGGCCTGGGGGGGTCTGGGGACGATGTTTTGGAGGGTTCTCCCACGGGGGGGGGGTCTGAAATGGCTTGTGACGGGTCCAGACCCCCTCCCTTTAAATTATGAAATCTGGATTAGTAGCAAACGGATTTCCAACACTTTGAGAGGGGACCAGGGGATTAGGGAGAGGGGGTCTTTGCTGCAGGTGCATCAAGCCAGACCGCCCAGATTTGTTATCCCTAATGCAACGACGGGGACCTACAGTGGAGGCCGGTCCACAAGAAACCTTCCATAAGCAACCCAACCCTGAGACCCCAGGACGTCCATGGATTTTTGGTGCTGGAACATCGTGCCTTCCACGGCAAGACCATCGGCACCCCAGAAACCCGGGGCACCCTGGAGGCAAGCAGGGCGTTTCTGGGCAGGGGTCTCCGCTGTAAGTTAGGTCACGTCTTCATCGTGCCTTTATCGGGAGCGGCCAAGAGGGGGGTGTCCAAGAGGGGGGGGGTGCAAATCATGACCGGCGGCATGTGCGCGGCCCAGCGGGGGGGCCAGGGACGTCATGAAATAAGAAGAGGCGCCTTGAAATCTGGGGAAATATCATGGCCCCCGCCATGACATCCACCCCTCCCTAGTCATCACCCCCCGCTTTTCCGCCCCCGGCTTTAGGGGTCAGGGGTCCCTTTGGTGCTCGACGCCGCCTGTCCCCGCTGAGGGCCTCGAGGTAGATGCCGCAGGCCTCGCGCGCCGTCGGCTCGCACTCGGCCAGCCGGGCCCGCAGCAGGGGCCTGCCGCCGAGCTGGGGGGCGCTGCAGACGTGCAGCACGGCGTCCTGCCTCTTGCGGCAGGCCTCGGGGTGGGAGCTCGTGGGGGCCTCCCGCACCCTCTCGTCGGCTCCGACGCGCATCGACGCACATCGACGCTCGTCGGCGCTACCTCGGCGCCAAATCGACGCTGCATCGACGCTGGGTCGACGCTAGGTCGACGCTACATCGACGCTACCTCGGCGCCAAATCGACGCTACATCGACGCTAGGCCGACGCTCATCGACGCCGGCCGCCGCTGAGTCGGCACATCTCATCGGCTCCCAGGCGCCAGTCGACGCTGACCGATGGATGCTAAAGACGGAATTCAGAGGGTAGCCCGGGCTCCCATGATTTGCTACCGAACAAGCCCGCTTGGGCAGCACGACCCGCAGCTTGGACGTGTCCGGCACCTTCAGCTGCGGACAGAGCGGCGTCAGCTCCAGCGGAGACTGAGACACGTTGTCGATTTCGGTTGGCGCATCGGACCGGCAGTCGTCGGCGTCACTCTGGGTCATGGCGCCCCTCGGGGTCATCCGTCTGCTGCTCGCCAATCCCGCGCGCTCCGACTGTGAATCCTGCTCCGAGGTCGTGCCGAGCGACTGCAGGGCTTCGGGCCTGAAGGGCGGCTGCGCCGAGCATGCTGGGACCTCTCGCGGGGGACTGCGCATCATCAGACACATGGACACGATCAGCACGGCTGTCGCCAGGACAAGCATCACAGCGAACACCACGAGGGACCCGAACGGGGCCTCCCCCGGGGCGATCCTCGCGAACCAGCGCGGCGCGGGCCCGGAGGAGTTCGGCACAGGCCCGCCGCGGCCAGCGGGCCAGAGCGCCCCCGCGGGGGCGGCCGCCGCTCGCAGGCTCTCGGGGCAGCAGCCTGGGGCACGCCCTCCGGCTAGGAACAGCCCTTTGGAGGCGTGGCGGTTGACGCTCTCCTGGGTGAGGACACCGGAGAAATTGTGGACCAGGGAATGGGCATCACTTCTGTTGGAGGCTAAGCGCAGGGCGTTCGCCGGCAGAACGATGGCACCGGCGACAATCACGTAACGCACGTACAGCGGAGTGTGCATCATCATGGCAGTCCTACTGAAGCCCCATCAGAGCTTGCACCCAAACAATACACACCAATCCCCAGACTCCGATGACCAAAATGGCATGAGCCAAAATGGCTATGAATATGGCGATGATGACCTTGACGACGGCAAGGCCAATGCCAGCACCGATGCTACTGACGACGATGACGATGAGGATGTCCACTAGTGGTGAAGGCGATTGACTGGTGATGGCAGCAATGGTGTCGATTGACGATGACGATAACGGCGGTGATGTGATGGCGCTGGTGAGGTTGATGGTGAACAAATATGCGCGCGCAGAAATTCAAGAGACGCGCGCGTGGCGGCGCGCGCATGTGGCCCGCATGATGTAAGTTGGTACGGATTTGAACACTGGTCGCATGCTAGATCAATGCAGTTGCACCGCATTGTGGGACGAGTGTGCCAAACTCAGATGGTTTCCATATGATTTCAAACAGTGCACGCGGGGATCACATCCGCGAGATTGTCAATGACACGCAGATTTGCTTCACGGCTTTTGTGCTAAAACGCTTGCAGAGCTGAGGTGTTCGTCATGAACTCGACGCGTGCGCGCGTCTGGACTTTCGTGGCATTACGGTGCAGGGGCACTTGCAGCATAATCTTCTGATGTAGACAAATGCGCGCGCACAATGTGATTCAACAGGGGTGTGGGGTGGGGGGTCGGTACTGGCTGGGATGTGACGGTATGACTTCACATGGGAGAAAAAACTAACGATGGTAGAAAACTACATCATGCAAATTGCAATACGAACAAGGGGGGCCGTTAACCTCAGACTCGGGAAGGGGGTGGGTCCTTTTGGTCCCCACATCCTGAATGCTGCTCTTGCTTTCCTAGAAAACCCTCTCCTCCTCCCTCCTCCTTATCCTCCCTCTCCTCCTCCTCTTCCCTACCACTATTACTACTTAGGTTCTTATCAAAAAAACGCTCTGGGCTTTCTTTGTTGTTGTTGCTGTTGCTTTACCGTCTTGTACCCTGGGCTCTTGACAAGCTAAAACCCCTGAACGAAGCAGCGTGACTTCAGCGTTTTGCTGCTGCGTGCTTTCGCGCTGCCATGCCCGCCGTCGCTGTGGATCCTCATCTTGTTGCTTTGCGTCTTTCGGGAGCGGCCAAGAGGGGGGTGTCCAAGAGGGGGGGGTGCAAATCATGACCGGCGGCATGTGCGCGGCCCAGCGGGGGGGCCAGGGACGTCATGAAACAAGAAGAGGCGCCACGAAATCTAGGGAAATATCATGGCCCCCGCCATGATATCCACCCCCCCCCAGTCATCACCCCCCGCTTTTCCGCCCCCGAGTCTTCGGGCTCCTTGCCAAAGACTGCTCCCTGTGTCTTCCCTGCCGCTGCCGCTCTCCGCTCCTCCTCCTGCTCCTCTGCCGCCCTCCGTCCCCCTCCCGCTCTCCGCGCGCGGGGCGCGCGGAGCCCAACAAAACGCCCCCGACGCCCCCCCCGAAGCAACCCGAACACCGGTCTACAAACACAGGCGCGGCATCCGCCCGGAGTAGAGGAAAAGGAACTATGCACATATGCGCGGTCTAAAACACAGGCGCGAGGAGAAGGAACTATGCACATGCACCGATTATGGCCAGGCCCATCCTGAGGCCAGGATCGGTGCATGCGCCCTCCTGCCCTGGCCAGGAAGGCACATGCACCGATCCTGGGTCAATGATGGGCCTTGCCAGGATCGGTGCATGTGCATAGTTCTCTTCGCCCGACCGGAGGCCCCGCGACCAGACCGCAGCGACAACCAGAGAGGAGCAGACTTACCAGAATTCAAATGCAATCCAAAAAACCCTAATCAGGACGCGCGGTACGGACGCAAGACCCTTGAAAGCCGAAGTTGGGATTTTTTGGGCGCGGCGGGCGACGAAGACCCCAGGGACGCACGAGCAAGCACGAGCAAGGACGCAGGGGTACCCTGAGCAAAGTCGCGCGTCCTTCTTAGGGATTTTGACTGCACAGGCAGACGTGGACGCACGGAGAAGGAGCTGAGGACGTCGCAGACGTCAGCGTGAAACAGCGCAAGCAGCTGATCCTGAAGACGCGGAACAGAAACTGTGCTGAGAACGCAGACAACCATATGGTTCTCAACCATCCTGTGGGGTTTGGTCCTCGTTTTGAGGAGAGAGCGGCGGGCGTCCCTTCTCCTCCTCCTCCCCCTCCTCCCCCATCTCATCATATTCTCTCTGCCCTCCGCACCTCTCTGTTTCGGCACTCCGCTCACACGTTTCGTGGCCCCACAGGGAGCTCCAGCGGAGGTGCCCGCATGTGGGCGACACCCCCGTTCCGGCACACCCCTCACACGTTTCGCGGCCCCACAGGGAGCTCCACCTAGGGCCCTAGGGCCCCAGTGGCGCGTCCCGCATGTGGGCGACACCCCCGTTTCGGCACACCCCTCACACGTTCTGCAGCCGCACAGGGAGCTCCACCTATGGTGCCAGTGGCGCAGCCCGCATGTGGGCGACACTCCCCTTCCGGCACACCCCTTACACGTTTCGTGGCCCCACAGGGAGCTCCACCCAAGACCCAAGTGACGCAGCCAACTTGTGGGCGACACACCCGTTTCGGCACACCCCTCACACGTTTCGTGGCCCCACAGGGAGCTCCACCTAAGGCCCCAGTGGCGCAGCCAACTTGTGGGCGACACACCCGTTTCGGCACACCCCTCACATGTTTCGCGGCCCCACAGGGAGCTCCACCTATGGTGCCCATGGCGCATCCCGCATGCGGGCGACACTCCCCCCAAGACCACAGTGACGCAGCCAATTTGTGGGCGACACCCCCGTTTCGGCACACCCCTCACACGTTTCGCGGCCCCACAGGGAGCTCCACCTATGGACCCAATGGCGCAGCCCGCATGTGGGCGACACCCCCGTTTCGGCACACCCCTCACACGCTTCGCGGCCCCACAGGGGCCTCCACCTAAGGCCCCAGTGGCGCATCCCGCATGTGGGCGACACTCCCGTTTCGGCACACCCCTCACACGTTTCGTGGCCCCACAGGGAGCTCCACCCAAGACCCCAGTGGCGCAGCCAACTTGTGAGCGACACACCCGTTTCGGCACACCACTCACACGTTTCGTGGCCCCACAGGGAGCTCCACCTATGGTGCCAGTGGCGCAGCCCGCATGTGGGGGACAGCCCAGTTTCGGCACACCCCTCACACGCTTTGCGCCTCCACAGGGAGCTCCACCTAAGGCCCCAGCGACACAGCCTGTATGCGGGCATTGCCCCATAGGGAGTTTAACCTCGGACGGTACTGACAATTGCGGTACTCACAACTGCAGATGGTTGAGTTCTTTGCCAGGCTACTTCCCAACCATTATGTGGTATAGGGCTCTCGTTTCGAAGACAGAGAGTGGGAGAGAGAGAGAGAGAGAGAACAAATAGAGACTGAGAGAGAGAACGCCTCGCGTCTCCTCTCCTTCTCCTCCTCCTCCTCCTTCTCCACCTCCTCCTCCTCCCCCTCCTCCTCCAACTCCTCCTCCTCTCTCCGTCATCATCACCATCACCACCACCACCATCATAATCATCATCAGCAGCAGCAACAGCATCATCATCATCATCATCATCATCATCATCATCATCATGATCATCATCGTCATCATCATCATCATCAGCATCATCATCATCATCATCATCATCATCCGTATCAGCATCATCACCATCACAATCAGCATCATCATAAGTAGCAGCAGCAGCATCAGCACCATCATCACAACCATCAGCATCATCATCAGCAGCATCACCATCATTGCCATCACCATCACCATCATCATCACCATCATAATCATCAGCAGCATCGTCATCGTTATCACCGCCATCACCATTACCATCATCACCATCACTTCCATCACCACCACTATCACCATCACCATCACCATCACCATCACAATCATCGTCATCATCATCGACATCATCATCATCATCATCATCATCATCATCATCATCAGCATCATCATCATAATCATAATCATCATCACCATCACAGTCGCCATCATCATCAGTATCATCACGCCACGGCGCCACCGCACCCATGTCAGCCTCACACGTTTCGTGGCCCCATGAGGAGCTACACCGAAGGCCCCAGTGGCAGGGTTCGCATGGAGCCACCGTGCCAATTTCGGAATACCCCTCACACGCTTCGTCGCCCAAGAGGGAGCTCCACCGCAGGCCCCAGTGACAGGTCTCGCATGGCGCCACCGCACCCATGTCAGCCTCACACGTTTCGTGGCCCCATGGGGGGCTCCACCGAAGGGCCTAATGGCAGGGTTCGCAAGGAACCACCGCACCAATTTCGGCACACCCCTGACACGTGTCGTGGCCCAGTAGGGAGCTCCGTCGAAAGCCCGAGTGGCAGGTCTCGCATGGCGCCACCGCGCCCCTGCCGGCACACCCCTCACACGTTTCGTGGCCCCATGGGGAGCTCCGCCGAAAGCCCCAATGGCAGGGTTCGCGTGGCGCCACCGCATTCATTTCGGCACACCCGTCACACGTCCCGTGGCCCCATAGGCAGCTTTACCAACGGCCCCAGTGGCAGGGTTCGCATGGCGCCACCGCTTTCATTTCTGCACACGCCTCACGCGTTTTGTGGCCCCGTAGGGAGCTCCGTCGAAGGCCCCATTGGCAAGTTCGCATGCGCCACCGCACCCATTTCGGCACACGCTTCGCACGTTCCGTGGCCCCATAGGGAGCTTCACCGAAGGCGAGGCACACAACTGCGGTACTCACACATGCATACGGTTCGGTCCTTCTCCAGGATATGTGTCTGGCGTTTTTGATTCCCTTGTTGGGGCCTAATGCAAACAACTATGTCCAACATCGCTTAGGACCCCCGCTCAGATTACTTAGGAATCGGGATCTCGCTGCCCTTCGTGGCCCCGTTGCAGCCCTTCGTGGCCACCTCGTTTTGTTTCGTGGCCCCGTTGCAGCCCTTCGTGGTCCCCTAGCTTTGTTTCGTGGCCCCGTTGCAGCCCCTCGTGGCCTCC